AGTAGGGGCATTATTATATATTGCAACAATCAGCAGACCAGATATAGCATGTGCAATCAATCTGTTGAGTAGAACAAACGAAATACCTCAGAAAACAGATTGGAATGCTGTCAAGAAAATCATTCGATACTTAAATATAACTAAAGACTTGGCCTTTAACATAACATAATTAGCCCCTTTACACCTATTGCAAAGGGGCACTTCCCCCCCATAGGGTTGCAGTTGGCCTGCTATTGAAGAAAATATGATCAGCTGTCACAGTTCAAGAAGGGAAGAATCATTTTGACGATTAAAGTCGGGTGGTCAGTTTGGAGAGTAGCCTGCCACCTCAGTTGCTGTGACTTTACGAAGAGGAGATGTTGAGATCAAGGGATGAGAGAAATTATAAACACGGTTCAGGTTCAAGATGTCCATGGTATACCAATAGCTGACAGAACCATCACATTACCAGACATGTATACACAGCACCAAGTGCAACACTGTCTACCATCTGAACATAGGAACAACATTTCTAATATGGGCCCCTGTGCTGTTCTATCTATCTTTGCCATTACCTGAGCTATCAATTATACTGATGCCTCAATCTAGAGATATGTTTCACTCAACAGGATTAGACTACAACTGAATGCAACCAGGTCATCTTCAACAAATCAAGATTTAATACAGTACAAAGTCTCTAATCCAGACGTCCATCCTCCGGAATGATCTATAATCCGGACCTCAAAGGCACAAACTTATGCATGCGAGTAAAGCGTTTACGCATGTGCGTTTGATGCGCACGTCCGCATAAAGCATTTACCCATGCGCACTTCCGATAGTGAAGAAAGTAACACAGAACGTTATTGAAAACGAAAAAATTTCGGTTGACAAGTTAGTCGGCATTCTCGACACAGCAATTGCAGGACTTGAACAGTGGAACTTTGTAACTGAACAAAAAATGATGTCTGTTTATAGAATTAAAGAGAAAGTATTAGGACAAAAAACGAAACAACTTAAACAACTTACATTGATAGAAATGTTTACCTAAGTAAACAAATAAATATTAAGCTTTTTTTTTTTTTGTAAATTTTGATATCCTTTAGATCATAATTGCTCTTTGTTTCATATTTTTAATTGTATAATTTCTGCATGCCATCTTACCAGATTTAAATTGATGATCTATAATCCAGAAAAACCCCTAATCCAGAATCGCCGAAGTCCCGAAGAGTCCGGATTACGGACTTTGTACTGATAGCTTTGTATTGATAGCACAGGCAGTGTTGATAATCATGTATGTGTGCAGAAGCCTTGTGATCTTGTCTGCTTTAGTGTGGTACACTACTTCTACGCTAGAGTAATGGCACGGGGTGCTGTCGCATTAGACACTATGTCATCTTTTATATCGATCCCCAATATAATGGCAGCCTAGCAGTATATTTGTGATGTCTTTCAGCCAAAGGTGTTGCCACTGCGGAAGGGCTTCAGGAGACATTTCTCAACAGAACAATGCTTGGTTATACACAGCAAGATGGTCACAGAAATGTTGCTTCAACTACATTATCACCTACCCTGGTTTGCTATAACCCCAGATTTGTCACCGATTAAGCATGTCATTAATCACATGGGTTGGTTAGTTGGACACCCAAAGTGTTTGATCAAATTAGGAGTGCACTTACAGCACATATGGAATGGGATGATGCAAAAAGGACTTGCATGCTTCAATGCCTGTACGCATAATATTGTACATTCAGGCTAAATAGAGTAATAGAAATTTCATTCATTTGTAGTTTTCCTGCAACAAATTATCCTTTTCCTTTGATTGTAAGCAGTATACTGCACTCACATATATCAAATTTCATTTGATATATTCTTTCTTGGCACACAAATTTTTATGACAATGATAATGAACGTGTGTGTGTACATAAATACATGGAAAGAGATAAAAGCAATTTTATGTAAATTTGCATTCATTATTTTATTTCACATAATTCTGTAAGCAACTGATTTAACATAAACAACACATGTAAATACAGCTTAAAGTTTACTTTTAACACACACTTTCTTGTGGCCATAATTCAGTAATTGCTATTATTAAAGCCTCAAACGCATTACTACGTCTGATGTGACGCCTGAATATGAGTTCTCCTGCATAGAAAACTAGGTGATGGAGACGCATACCCCAATTTTTGCTTCTACAGTACAAAGCCTGAAATCTGGACATCCAATATACGGAATGAACCAAACCTTCAAATCACCAGCAATCTTTCCCCCTCCTTTTGTATGCTTTGTGCAGGCACATTTGACATTGTCCCATAATAAAATATATGGAGGAACCCGATTCTTAATTTCATTTAATCACTAAATAAATACATTCTTATTGAAGAAACAATCATTTAGTAGCATTGATCTGTATAATCCACAATTTGGCTCAGCAGCTGCCTTTTTGTTTGGCATACATCTCAAACAAAACATTCTACATCAAAATATCATTTATTTTACATTTACTGAATAATTTATATCCCTGACACCAACTAGTAAATCATTATTTATCCTTTTATGCTTTCATACTGCGTGACTATCAACCAACAACAGCTTGAGAAATGACCAATACAGCAATGTCTACATTAAGAAGCAAAAAATATTAGTATTAGAACATCAAAGAATATAGTAACCTTTCATATCAACATTATGCTTGGCAAAGATTACAGACATCATTTAACACTGCTATAAAGTGCTAGGTTTGTTGACAAAAAGAAATTTAACAAAAATTTCTTCATGTAACTGAAAAATAAATTTTCTAAATGATACTCATAGGCCAAAAGATTGCATTTAGTGCTGTTTGAATTGAGAATAACTGATTTGTTACTCAGATATGCCCAGGACTGGTGGCAGAATTTAGGGGATTTTAAAAATGTTTAGAATTAAAAGAAGCCCCGAGAAACAAAATTAATAAGGGATGTAAAAATCTTTAAAATTTAGAGGTAGCACTGGAATGCAAAATTTAAGAGCAGCATTTTTTTTTTTTTTTTTTTTTTTTTTCTTTTTAATTTATAAATACACTTAGCAGCAGAGTTTAGGACCTGTAGACCACTGGGCCTCAAAATGGCAGGCCCTAGAAAAGCCTTAAGTGTATGTAGGAATTTGTTTAGATTCAGATAAACCTTAAACACAGGTGAAAAAGAAATGCAAGTGTAATAATATAATTCAAGCTGAACTTTATGAGTGTGCATGACAAAAGTTATTGGAAGAATATGCCTTTAGTCAACAGTCTCATGATACATCATCAACACTGTATTGTGAATGCTAACAGCTTTATGATGATAGCAGCAAATTTGGAAGTTTTCAAAAAATGCAGACATAAAGCAAAATTTTCTAATTAATGGAAATTGTTTGTAAAGAAATGTGAAGAAGAGTAATAAATGAAGGTGATATAACAGAAGTTTTCATTGTAATAACAATGCCCCAGTCATCATCAGTGAACTAATAGATGCCGAAATCTGTAGTTTAGTTTTAATTGCAGAAAACATCACGATCGATAATAAACAATAAGACACAGAGTTTCTTGAGAGTGAAAACATTTCAACTGACAATTCAGTCAGAATTCTCAACATGGCAGTTACAGGGCTTGAATAATGGGACTTTATACAGTACTTACATACTAATGCAACCTACTTGGCTCAATACGAAGATTTATTTACAGTAAAAGTTACTTATTGGGTACAGGTTGATGGTTCTCACAACTTCCTTTTTAAAAAGTTTTCCAAGCAATTGATATTTACTGCAAGTCAGCAAACATTATCAACATATGAAAAGGAAACACACTTCACTAATTTAAAATACAAATTATTAAGTATGTATTATGTGGTACATCAAAAAATAAAACACAATTTTTGCCAAATCATTTTGTAATTTTTTATGCTATTCTTTGCCACAAATACACAGCAATCTGCTTATGCTTGAAAAAAAATCAGATAACTGCAGAGATATGCCATCATGCAAACTCCAGTAACATCGGCTATCTAGCAAACACATCTTCTCATTTCTTTCTTTAGAGATTTTACCATCAAAATTCTGTGTTCCTGAAGAAATTTTACTGCAGTTTCTTCCATCACTAGCAAAGTCCACAAGTGCATTTTTTAAAATCAAGGTTTGAAAGATCATGATTTCTTAAAAAAAAAAAAAAAAAAAAAAAAAATCAGAAATGGCAGTGTTGTTTTATTAAAAGATTGTTATGAGAATGGTTGCTTGAAGACCATTATGTTAACAGAATTTACCAGAATTAGGTTACTAGAATTTAGAGACTTCTACAAAGGTGCCTGTGATAGCAATCTTTATTATTGAATAAGAAATTATGTCTATCTACAGAATAAAAGAGAAAGTATTAGCATAAAGAAAAAAATTTAAAGATGTTACACTGAAAGAAATGCTTAATAAAGTAAACAAATAAATACAGAGCTTTTTCTGGTAAATTTTGATACCCTCGATGTCATAAATGCTTCATTATTTCATAAATCACAATTTCAAAGGATTTATTATACAAAAATTCCTTAAATTTGTATAAAATTAATCTAATCAAAACTAATCAAAAACATACTCAAAATTCAAAATTAGGGCCTTGAGGTGCTCATGTTCAAGTAGAGAAGTATGTGTATTAAACATTCCTTGGCTTTTTTTATTTTAATAACAACTTCAAATCAATTAGGAATACATATCTGCCATGTGGTACTTTTCCCTGTTTTGATAACTATTTATTTGTGTAAAGTACTTAAAACAATATTTCAGTTCTTTGTTTTAATTTTTATTATAGTTTGCATCATCTGTTTATTAAAACTTGAGAAATGGAACAGAAGGAATCCATAATTATGAACTATGTGATACTCTGCCAAAAACCATAAGTGTTCTAATTCTCATAGAATGAAATTGTACCTGATGGTACACATAAAAAAGAATTGTAATTTTGGCAACTACTACTAAAAGTTAAAGAATAAGAACTGGAAATTTCTTTAAAGGAAACCACTTACCTTTTCATTTAGTAGAATTCACATGAAGGTACAGAAAAGATGAAGAAAATAAATAAAAACTTGTTGTTTCATGAAGTTACCAAAAGCTCTTGTATATATATATATAACTGTTAAATCAGTCAGCTGATATTGATAATATATTTCATCGCCAACAGGTCATTAGTGGAAATACCTTAAAAAAGATAATATGTATATGCATTTATATTAAATTTAAGTGTTTATGCTTTATAATGCCTTTAGATTAAATTTAAATGGTTACGCCTTTTATAATGCATTTAGATTAAATTCTATGTTAAGACGAAATACTACATTACAGGAATATTAAACAGTCTAATAAAGCAATCAGTAATAACAAAATTGGAAGCTTCAACTAAATAGGAAAAAAAAAATTAGCATGCACAGTAATACATAGATACATGCTGAAAACTTTTCACATGACTTCAGATATATATTTACTAGTCACTAGTATAATTTCTGACTTTGAAACATGAAAATGTGAAAGTTTCCAAAAAGCTTTCATGCTGCATGGATATCCCCATTTAAAAAATTCAAATTAATTACTTATTTATTTTACAATGCATAATTCAGGATATTGAATTATTTATAACATGACATAATTATTTATATTCTGGTGTGAAATTTTCTGTTACTTTATTAGATATACTGAATTTTATATTCTTTGACTAATTGTTTAAAGCAGTAAAAATAAATATTAGTTTAAAAATGCATGACTCACTCTTGCCAAAATAGCGTGAAACTTCTCAGAGTTTCAATCATTAAATACAATTACAAATATAACATCAACATTGTTTACGAAATTTTCAGCACAGACAAAGAACATTGAAAATCTTTCTGCCCGTAGGGCGAAAAATCAAACCAAAATCAAGCTTAAAGCGTTCAGTCCAACGACTTCATATATCTCGTTCAGGCCCGATATATAAATATTCCGTGTTTAAGATTAGCATTTAAAACAGAACGAAATCCATTGTAGCTAAGTTAAGTCTTAAATATCCTGTTGCAAGAACTTTCTGTAACGTATGATTACAGTTTAACCAGACGGATTAGATATCTAGTTGGTTTAATCTTCTCCGAAACTAGCATTATTCCTTTATTTCTGTTTTGTTACACATTACACAAGTAAGTTTCAAAATGCACAGAACAATTTTAAATCAAATGAAACGTAAAATCAGTTAACTATATTAGGAAGAAATCATAAGCTGGCCTGATTTTATTTAAAAAACATTAAACTGAAATGAAAAGAAAAATTATTAGCACAAAAGGCCTATTCATCTCGAGATGGGATTTTACGTCGAATCCATGGAGGTTAGAATAAGAGCTCCTAGATTTCCCGTTATAGAAGTCTGAGCTCCATTTAACCTCTATGGTCAAATCACTATAAATGCCAAGGAGGTTAGAATATATAGAAGGAGGGAAGGTTTGCAATTTCCTCCACTATCGGGGAATGAAACCTTACCTAACAAGCGGTAAAACAATGTCACTACATTGCATTACGGCAGTGAAGTTTTTTGTGTTTCTAAGCTGTTCCGTGCATATATCTTCAAGTTAAGACATGTTAATTTTATAATGAAGTGCCTCGCTATTGTTAAATTTCTGTCTTAAAGTAATAAAGGTGATATCCATAATTTAGAAAATATAGAAAATTATTAATAAATAGTTCGAAATCTAAATGCATGTGTATAACATTAAAGGCCTTTAAAACGATGTTTCTGCATACTTTAGGGATTTGTTTCGGTTTTATTAGCAACATGTTGGGTGTACTTTCCAATTTTATCTTTAAGAAGTGATATTTCTTATTTATTCACAGTAGTATCATAATTTATTAATGAATCATTTCATATTGTTGCGTGCGTACGGGTTCGTTATGAAATAAATGCACAAGTCCGATGAAAAATGAACAAAAATTTATTATTATCACAACAGAAATGCTTAAATTTTCTCAAATTATCATGAAGTATCACAATATCTCACAGTAGTTATCTTTTAACTACTTAAATGTACAATAGAACGTAATTCAAAACAGCTAAAGAACGCTAATCCGCGAATTCGCTATAATCAACAACGGCAGTTTTCTAAACAACAACAAACTAAGCAACTACTACAAACTGAGATGTTTTCCTCCTTTTATAAGATTTTAAAATCACGCGCTAGAATTTTCCAGTACTTTCTCGAAATCAAAAAGAGATATTTATTTATTTAATGCACGCGCTCTTGTATTTTTAATTTTTCCGGCTTAGCTTTCTTTTAATATTCGTCACGCGCTGCACTGCGCGAGAAATAAAACCATTTAATTTATAATTGAACTAACATTAGCTTTTTAAATACCAAATTCGTAACACTGCCCCCTTCCCAAGGACTGCACGTCCCGGGCAGTACAATCCCTGGACAGGAAGCTAAACTTACAACTGTGGCATAATTGCAACTGAGGCATAAACATTACATTACAATATCAAACAACATAAACAATAAATGCAATAACTAACTTAAACAAATCAAATGCTATCAAATACTAAATACAAAAACAAATACTAAATACAATCAAATACTAAATGCAAATCAAATACTAAATACAAATCAATACTAAATACACATTTACAACAAAGGACCATGGTCTGATACTATTTACAATTATTTACATTACGTACTATGGCCATAGTAATGAGCTAACCTGTCGTAATGAACGACTTTAGTTTAGAGTTCGAAGACTTACTAATCCGAACCACGACGTCATTCAGCCTTTTTTAGGACTGTGTACGGGCCATCCCAAGGGACTGTAATTTCGGACAAAGTCCTTTCCGTCGAGTCGGATTCCACAACCACACCTTGTCTCCTTCGTGGAACTGATGTTCAGTAGCTCTTGTGTCGTAACGGGTCTTCATCTTCTCCGTCGCCAAGTTGACTCGCTTTCGTGCAAAGTTGTGCATCACTTCAAACCGGGCCTGGAGATCTTGAATATATTCCTCAGACGATGAAGGAGCATCCGGAGGGCGGCCAAACAATAGATCACAAGGCAGACGAAGGTCACGACCGAAGAGCATCTGTGATGGAGAATAGCCGGTAGTCTCGTGACAGCACTGCGGTAAGCCAGTAAAAGAGTGGTAATTTCTTGTCCCAGTCCTGTTGGTTTCTGGAAACCACTAATGAGAGGTTATTAAGGATGGTTCGATTGAACCTCTTTACCATGCCGTCCGACTGGGGATGCAATGGCGTCGTTTGAGTTTTGTCAATGCCGAGTAGTTTGCATAGTTCTTTGATTACTGCCGAGGCAAAATTCCTTCCCTGATCGGAATGTAACTGAAGAGGCACTCCGAACCTGGAAATCCAGTGCTGTATCATTACCTCAGCTACTGTGACAGCCTCTTGATCAGGAATAGGATAAGCTTCAGGCCACTTGGTGAAGTAATCAATGACAACGAGTATGTATTTGTTGCCATCAGCAGTTCGTGGCAGAGGTCCCAGGATGTCAAAGGCGATACGTTCAAAAGGCGCCCCTACGTTGTAACGTTGCAGCTTGCCTCGGCTGCGTCTCCTCGGTCCTTTCCGACCTGCACAGGCATCGCAAGATCGGCACCACTTTTGCACGTCATCCTTTGCATTATTCCAGTAAAAGCGCTCATGAACTCTCTGCAAGGTCTTCATTATTCCAAAGTGACCTCCAGTAGGGGTGCTATGTAACACTTTAAGGACATCAGGAATGCGGGATCTTGGAAGTATAAGTTGCCATCGGAACGTCTTCCCATCATCCGATTCGAATTTCCGGTATAAGACGCCGTTTCGAATGTGAAGTGAATCCCAGAGTGCCCAATATTGTTTGGTTGTAGGACTACAGATAGAAATGTCCTGCCAGGTAGGTTTTCTGTTTGATGACTCCATTAAATCAATTATGGGTTTAATGTCGCGGTCTTCCAGCTGGTCTTTCCTGACTTCATCATCACTCCACGGGTTCTCGATCAGCCGATGTTGATGTTGTAATTTGTCTTGCGACCGGAGTCAGCAGCTCGTATTTCGCTTCCACCCTGGAACAATATCGGCAGCTTTCTTGGCAAGGTCTTCTAGACAGGGCGTTGGCGTTTCCGTGTGATGATCCCTTACGATGACGGATAGTGATGTCATATTCTTGGAGTCTCTGTATCCACCTGGCTATTTGACCCTCAGGATTCTTGAAATTTAAAAGCCAGGTCAATGATGCATGATCCGGTGCGGAGGCAGGAATTTTCTGCCGTATAGATAGTGATGGAACTGTTCTACAGCTTTGACTATGGCGAGCAACTCTTTCCTGGTGACACAATAATTCCTCTCCAATTTAGACAGGCACTTGCTCCAGTATGCCACTACACGTTCTTGGCCGTCTATTTCTTGGGACAAAACAGCACCAACACTTTCATTACTCGCGTCGGTGTCGAGAATAAATGGTCGGTCAAGCTGAGGATACGTCAGGATTGGAGCAGATGTTAAAGCCTCCTTTAAGTTGTTAAATGCATCCTCGCATTCTTTTGTCCACAAGAACTTTTGGTTGCTCTCTGTCAGCTTGTGTAGGGGTCTTGCGATGGAAGAAAAGTCCTTCACGAATTTCCTATAGTAGGTGCAAAGCCCTAGGAAGCTTCTCAGCTGATGGACATTTTCGGGACGTTTCCAGGATTTAAACGGCTGATACCTTTTCAGGATCCGTGTGCACACCTTCTGCAGAGATGACATGTCCCAGGTAAGTCACTTCCTTTCGGAACAATTTGCATTTAGCGGGACTCAGCTTCAGATTGGCTTCTTTCAGTTTCTGAAGCACCTTCCTAAGATTTTCTAAATGTTCTTCAAAACTCTTTCCGACGATGATGATGTCGTCCAGGTATATATGAGGCAGGCTTCGTAGGAAAGGCCTTTCAAAACAGTTTCCATAAGACGTTCGAATGTTGCCGGCGCATTACACAGTCCAAACGGCATCACCTTGAATTGCCAAAGCCCTTGTCCCGTAGTAAATGCCGTCTTTTTCTCGGTCTTCAGGCTGTATTTCTACCTGCCAATACCCACTCTTTAAATCAAGTGTTGAGAACCACTTGCTTCCAGAAAGAGTGTCTAGAATGTCGTCAATTCTAGGAAGAGGGTAACTGTCTTTCTTCGTAACCTCATTCAACCGGCGATAGTCGACGCAAAATCTTGTTGAGCCGTCTTTCTTTCTGATTAGGACGATGGAAGATGCCCATGGACTTACTGAAGGCTCGATGACATCGCTTTCTTTCATATCTTTTAACAGTGTTCGCACCTCTTCCTGTTTAGCAAATGGTAGACGTCTTGGATGTTGGTTGATCGGGGGATGATCGCCGGTATCTATTCTATGTTGTGTCAAACTAGTTCGACCCACGTCAGAAGACGAGCGGGAGAAAACAACTTGAAGATCTTTAATGACGCGATCGGCAGCATTCCTCTCGTTTAATTGCGCATTCTGCAATAACTCCGATGTAATTCTCTCTGAGGACACGGATTCTTGGATGTTACTCTTTCTTTCAACGGTGGTTACTGGAGTACATGCTGCAACCACTTCACCTTTCTTAATAATTCTCCCCTTCTCAGTTACATTGGCGACTCTCACCGGGATAACCGTTCTGGATAGGTCGACGAGTGTTGAGGCTACTAGTACTCCTTTTGGGCTATTACAGTTATTGGGATATTCTATGATGCCGTAGCGGAAATTTCTGTTTTCGGCTATGGATCCAGGAAGTAAAATTTCTGTTCTTGCCGGTATTGTGATATTGTCTTGTGCTATGATTTTATGGACAGATTTAACTTCATCATTGACTCCAAATAACGCTATG